TTCCTGCTGAGAAGACCTCCTCCTATCTCCTGCTTTGTGCTACAGGACCACTTGCAATTCCTCAAGCAGGGTGTGTGTGTGTGTGTGTGTTTATGCTGCCATGCCTTGGCACATGGGGGCCCCCCGATCGTCAAACCCCTTCTCCTTCATAGCTGAGAACAGTGCTTCCCCACATTCATGCCTGGACCCACCCCAAGCAGGCTCAGCTGTTCCCTCCACCCCCACTACCTGGTGAACTGGTCTCCACTAAAGTCTGGAGCACACTATGCTCCCAGGCTAGTAGACGGGGATGAACAGCTTCCTATTCAAGTCATCACTCTGACATCCCTTACACAGCAGGCATGCAATACATACTTGATGACTGAATTCATGTAGCCTCATATTTTCATAATTTGATCAAAGTCATTAAACCAAAGGACAGTGTTTTATTCACTAATGCACTGTCCTGACAACCAAATGTATTCTTGTGAAAGAAAGATGGCAGACATTAATCCAAGAAGAGGAAAGTATGTGTGCATCCTTGGTACCAAACACCTTTCCTTGTATACTTCAATACACCAGACTTTAATAAGAAAATAATTCTACCCTCATCTCTAATCTTAATCAACTGTAACTGGGCAATATTTATACTCATGACACAATCTTGCTTTGGAGACATCAGAACATACCTCAATGGCAACCTGGCCACATCAGACAGGAGCTTCCGGTGAAGGCTGAGGCTTACTTGTTGGAGTCAATGGACAGTGGGCAGGTGCAGGGATGGCAGGACTCTGGAGTCCCATGTGAAGGTGTCCTGTAGAAGCCAGGCAGGCACTGCTCACAGTGGTCCCCCATGGTGTTGTGTGCACACGCCCTAGGGCATATACATGAACAGATGAATCAACTTCCTTAAAGGATTTTCCTTTTCCTTCCTTTAAGGATTTTCAGATTCATTTACAAACAAGCTGGAGTTCAAGTTACAAACAAAAGGCTAATCTGAGCCTTTTAATGGCCGAGCTATCCCTCCCGCTCTCGTCAAGAAATCTCAATAGATTCTGATATGAACATTTGAAATTTGCCCTGTTCTGACTTTTTTCTGGTTCCCTGTCTAGAACTTGTAATGCTAACTACTCTTGCCTTTACTTCTCCTTCATATCTCCTATTCACCAGTCAAGGACTTTCTTTTCTCCCTAAAGATAAGAGTTATGCAATTTTGGAGTCTTTTAGATAGACCCACTGAAGGAGTACCCCAACTGCTTCACCCTGCATCCCTGTTCAGCATGGAAGTCCCGATTCCTTATTGGCAATTTGGGTAACCTCTTCAGAGGACAGTGTGATAAGAATAGGAGGTAGGAACTGGCTAGGCAGTTAGGGCAAAAAGACCCCAAGGAAAAGTGGTCAGTTTCTTGGCTAAAAGTCAAAATGTCCTTGGGCCTCTTACCAATATACTCTGCTCCAAAGTACAAAAATATCAAAAGTATTTGGGAGCTCTTATCTAATCCCTACAAGATTTTAGGGTTACTTCTTCAGAGGGGAGAATGTTAGAGTAGAAAAAAAGCCCCATTTTAAAAAGGAAGGAAGGAAGGAAGGAAGGAAGGAAGGAAGGAAGGAAGAGGAAGGAAGGAAGGAAGAGGAAGGAAGGAAGGAAAGAGTACATGAAGTTGTCAGAAAAAAGTGATAGGGAGATATAGAAGGTGTTGGATGGGAGGGAATGGGCGTGGATTTGATCAAAACACCTTATAAGCATGTATGAAATTCTCAATAAATGTTTTTTAAGTTAAAAACGAAAGAAATTTTACAAAAGGCTAAATATTAAAACACACATGAACTTCAAGTTATAGAAGAAAAGTCTGTTTCCAGATTGAGGTTTTATAAAGACTTTATTTTTAATTTTGTGTATATGGGGGGTATATGCACGTTGGGGGGCAGTGCCTGTGAAGGCCAGAAGAGGCTGTCAGGTCCCTTGGAGCTGGAGTTACTGCAGTTGTGAACTGCCTGACTGTGGGTGCTGGAAACCAAACTCAGGTCCTCTAAAAGAGCAGTACATATCCTTAACTGCCAAGCTATCACTCTATCCTCAAGATTGAATTTTTTAAAAATATAACTTGTATAAGACTGTAGAAATGTTCCAGATTAAAGAACCCTAAAGAGATGTGACAATATAATGCAGTCCCTGACCTCAGCAGATGGTCAGGAAAAACTGTACAGTGGGCCAGTGGGTGAATGGATGGCAAGTTAGAAAAAGGAAAGTGTTAAGGTTAAACTTATGTGAGGTGATGAGTGCACCAACGGTGCATAGGAACAAACACACTGAAGTATGTAAGGATGAGGGGCCATAGTGGATGCAGTGTGCTCCCCAATTTAATCAAAGACCTGGTTAAATAGATACATAGATGCACGGAGAGACAGATGATGAGGGAGATAACGACAGGGGATGTGGGTAAATAATGTAGGCATCATGACTTCTATTCTTATACATTTGGGGTAAAATAAAATTATTTCCAAATACAAGGTTTTAAAAACTAGGTGATAAAACTATAAACCCACAAAGTCTAGAAATCCAGCAAACTCTAAGTCAGATAAGCAAAACAAAGAAACAAAAATTTACATTAAAGGTATACAGTCAAATAGTTCAAAACCAGGGCCCAAATAAATGTTCGGGAGTAGACGGAAAAAGGAATGGCAGAACACTGGACCGTGTGCCCCTTCTCATTAGAAACAAGGCAAACCCGAGCCAATGGGACAGGTCTAAAGTGCTGAAGGAAATCTGAGAACATTTCAAAACTGGAGACAAAATTAAGTCTTTTCCAGATAAACAAAAGACAATTTGTCAACCAGCAGACCCGAGTAGAGAAAGCTAAAAAAGCTGTTCAGGCTGTAAAGTATAGTGCATGTGGAATATGATTTATCAGAAATACCCTGACCTGGAGAGTTCGGATCTTTTTTAGGTTCTGAAGCATGTCCATGTACATAATGAGGCATCTTGGAGAGTGGACCCAAACATAAACACAAACTTCATCTGTATTTCATATATGCCTTACGCACATAGCTTGTGAATCTGTTTTATATAATATTTTAATAACTTTGTGCATGAAATAGT